AAGTTCAACAGCACTGAATGATACATTGGAAGGCCACCGCGAATCATTGTAATACCTATTTTGCCTTCGCTCACTTTTGCTACTTTAGGAATATACTCGAATGGATGGTGAAGTAATTGAACATCAACCAAATCCTTTTGAAACTTTTTTAAGCGTGAGTTCAATGCCGTACCTGTTCCTTTAGGTGGACCAGGTCCTCTATAGGGGGCAGCCGTAAAACCACGACTCAGTTCATCTCCAGGTACGTTCACTACTAGCCAATGCAAGAAATCGCGAAAACTGGGATCTGCTCTTGACGGCGCGTCAGGATCTAAAAAGAAAATAGAAGACGATTGGAAAAGTGGAAAACATCGAATGACGTAGAAGCAGCGCAGCAATCATAGTTCTAAAACACTCGCTCAACCATTTCTATCGTTTTTTTCAGCACTGTTATTTTTCACCGTTATTCATTGTTTTTTACCTTTATGATATTTTGATAAGATGGAAAGTACTCTATAACCGTAAATAATGCACGTTTCTGATTAATATTTTTATGATACGAGAAGTGATGGTCAAGTGATTAATGATGGAGTTCATCATAGGACCTGGTTCGGCCACTTTCCCACTTCCCAACACTCGCAATCAATCAACGAACGCCTTAGAGCGCTAGTGCCAGGAGTGATGGGATTCGCACAATAACAGTATGATAACAGGTTATATAATATGATGCAGAAATTTAATGGTAATTTCCGGATTTTCCAGATTAATCTTTGAATTCAATCGATTTACTCAGTTTTCGAAAACTATTAAACCAGGACAAAATATTGTAATGATCAGTGGAATTTTTCCAGCTACGCTTCTGTAAACAACCCACCTGAGTATTTTCCTAATTCGTTGTATAGATAATATTTTTAATCAAAAAAGATTTTAATTGTCAGAGTTAAAAAATTCAAACTTTAGCGTACTGAAAATGGTAGTCAATTATCGTTGTCTCGTCTTCTACCTCAGTTTTTTCTAAATCTTATCTTTGAGGAATGTCGCCTCATTCTCACAAAAGACGACTTTTTGAAATCATTTCGTGGAGTTCTGTGGTTCGTGAATGTGGAAAATGAAAAGAAAAGACCATGATGACGATTTACCGATCATTAAAACAGTATACAATGAAGACGAGGAAGCCTCCCACATCAGTCTCGGTTGTGAAGATGTAGCCGATGGGCTTAATATATTACCAAATTGCACCTGAACTATTAAAATAATTAGTAAAAGATAAAAATGCTGACAAAAGCGGAAAAAAGTTAAACACTGCAAAAAGGGACGAGAACAACAACAGTCTAGAAGCTATAAATTACAGAGTCTTGTTCAATATTTGGCCACGTAAGCGACAAGTCAGTCTTTCATATAGAGCACAGCATGGTGACTATTACTACAGAGTTATATGTCTCTTCTAGTATGGTGATTTTGTATGAGCTCGTAAGCGAGAGTATCTAAGCCGTTCACGGATTCGATTAACCATCGAAATATCCTGGACATTGGTAGTATACAAATATGGCTCCGCTGTTTTTTTGCTGTAATAGTAGCCAAAATAAAGGATTGCGATTCTTTTTTCTTATTTTGAAGTGCGCTAAAAACGCTAAATATTCATTTGTTTTATATAAAACATCTTATATAATGGTATTTATTGCACATTAAAAAAAACTACTATTGTATTCGAAAAACAAAATTTACTGTGCAGATTTTTTAATCAGATATAACTACAGTTACTTGCTTTTGATACCAGTCAGTTAAGTATTTTCTTGCAAAAATTTTTGTACACAAATTGCCCATACTTGTTTTGAGATGGAGCTGTCGTGGGAACTCATCTCACTCGTTTGCTATTCATGCTTGAATGGCGCGTAGTGGAAGATGCTAGTGAGGGGGAGCACAAGATCAATGGAACTTGGAGTGAGCTCCATCTTGAAGTAAGTACAGGAGCGTTGTCTACCAAGATGTTCGCAAGAAAATACACAATTAAACGATAGTGAGACCACGTAAATTTATTGCAAAAATCTTTGGCACTTACTATACCACCATGATCACCTTTAGGTGTATTTATTGGGTTGTCCCATAATTTCCTTCTCATTTCGGCGCTTTGATAAATTCATTTATCACTTAGTTAAAAATCAGTCAATTAGTAACATAATCATCATCACAATCAATAATACGCAATTATTTGCTAGGCAAAGATTGGATGCCTTCTTCGCAAAACGAATGAGGCTGGCGATTAAAGAAGTCTGTGAGCTCACTTGGGTCGTCGTCATTGGACTTTTTCTTCCTCTAGATACTCCTTCAGGGATCAGAGTAGATGATAATCCGATGGAGCAATATCAAAGCCATACAATGCACGTGGTGAACACAGTTTCTTAAAAGGTTGGCGAGTCAGCTATGCAATGAAGGGTGGTTGACCAATGCACGAGATGTCCACGGAGAGATTACATTGCGGTAGCGCACCATTCAGATTAAAAACGATGGGCTACGGTAGAATACAAGTGCTACTAAAACACTTTCCAACATGCTATAGGCCTTTTGGCATTAATCCGATTCGAAATAGGCAGTAATTGAAGAAAACAAAAGTTCGTTATGGGACAATCAAGTAGTTGTGACAATAGTCCACTTCAATTTTCTTGCAATTTTACTAACTTATAAGTTGCAAATGTTAAAACATTATCTTATAGACTCTTTATACGTGAATATTTTTTTTATCTACAAATACTGCGCGATAAGAAGGATAAAGGATATTGCTCTTAGAGTTAATCAATCCCTGAGAGATGCGCTATGCATTCGTCCTTAATTTTCATGTTCGTTTGAGGTGATGGAATGCATATCTGGCCTTTACAATGGCTCGCAGTGACCTCCCGCTGTATTGAGTCAGTGCTGTTTATCCTCCCAGGCTCTGATACTAATCCACCGAACCCAGAAGGACAGATCGCTTGCTGAGACATGAGCGTGAGATCGAACCATCGACCTCGTGTGCGACGCAGAGCACATCTAACCACTGCGCCGTCTGCGTTCATTGCATGCTATGTTGATATAAACAGAACGGCGCTACTTGATGCTCCTGACAGAAGTAGTCAACCTAGTGTTCACAGTTCACTAGGTTGAGTTTCTAATACCTAGATAATATAAGTAAAATATAATCAATAGGAAAACTATAAAATCAATTGGTGATGAAAGTCAGGAGCCGTAAATTTTACAAAAAATCGACCCAAACAAGCAGCAGCTACTTGTCCAAAATCCCATAAAATCAGAAAAACCCTTTAGCAATGTAATATTACTTAATCTAGATTAATTTGTTTTTTCCTCCTCCTGTAGTTGCCCACTTTTCACGATCGTACATTTTTTTTTTTGGAGAAAAGGATCAAGAAACAATTAATTTTTGTCAATCATGAAGAATTACCTCACTATTCCGGTCATAAGTCACTCGTAAAGGCATTGTTTCCGGTTTAATGTAACCTGGTCGATCAGAATGACAATAAATCCTAAGAACTACTTCATTATTGCAATCTAATGGTTCTGATTTTGAAAGTGAAAAAAAAATCGTACCGCTGATAGAATACCAACAGCAATGGAAGAAGAAGGTACATATAGCCCATCCTGAAATGCAAAAAAAAATCTTCTCAACTAAAGCCAACTCATTAAATGTCAAGACTATAGGCAGACGACAGCGGCCGAACTAGTCGACGCCAAGCGATTTTCAACGGTTTATCGCTGTAAAATCTCAAAGAAAAGCGAAATAATCTTGTGCGACGATGTGATGTCGACACAATGGAAATTAGTAGAAGAGACCGAAATATTGTGAAGTCTAAGGAACACTTCTCTAACTGTCACATTAATAGACTTGTGTCTGCTGAAACGCACTTATGGAACAGTAATTTATTGCTTCCGTTGTTTGTTAAACTGGAAGTACAATCGATCGAACCGCTCTACATTACGAGTGTAATGCGATAGAAAACCGACAATGTAAACTAACTGCGGAAGAAGAACACCGTTCTTCGTTCGTTACCACCCTAGTCAGCATCTCGTCGAGAATTATTCAGTAGCGAATATTCCAAAAGAAGAACACTGAAAAAGAGGCCAGAAAAACGATATAAAAGTTACGAATAACTTTGAATAGCTCGTTTTACTGCTTCTCACCTAGTTACTCCTGTATGGGCAGTTCACTTCATTTTGTCTACAAAACTCATCTTCATTTTCGTTTGGTGCAAATTTGGGTGTTACAGTACAAATTGTGAATATCACATTGTCTATGAGTGTCGCTTGAATAGGTTGTAGGCTAATCTTCAGCGAGCCGAAATAGAGCGCCTCCATGACATCACCACAATGACAGTTGTCGGCTTTTGTAGACAAATGGGGATGTGCCAGTTTGTGACTGAAAGCCTCTCCAATGACTCCTTTGGTGGCGAGAATTTTCTCATGTTCGCTCGGTACACTTATCCTAACATGAGAGGAATGGAAGACTTGGTTTTGCAAAGGTGTGAATAATCTTTTACCTTTCTCGTTGTTACGCCTCAGTTTCACAGTATAAGAACAAGGAGTTTTTGAAAACAAAAAGGACTTGTTTTGTTCTAAAGATCTAATTGATAGAAAGTTGAATTGTGTCCCTAATAAGCTCAAAGTTCAGATTTAATCTCGAAAACCTTTCAGTGAAGTCACATTGCTTTTGTTCTTTTGTTCCTAACACAAGAGCAAGCATTTTCAGAGTGCGCAAGAATAATTGTTTCAATAGTATTGATAATGAAACAATTGTCGTATATTCATAACATAAGAATACTAACTTTCCATAAAATCGACTGTTTTCAAAGACCTCGTAATAAACATTCAAAATAATGAAAAAAAGCAGTGAAAATACTGTAATTTCGAAGTATTAGTAATTAGAATAGCTATCAGCTCAACTGGTTTTATAAAGCGAAATCGCATACCCGACCAAACCTGTCAAAGGTTGGTGGCTGATAGCTAACATTGAGATGTAGAAGAATGAGTGGTCGGGCAAACGTGGTGTAGTGGTAGAGCAAGCGTCCCCGGATAGGATGAAACGTGGGTTCGATTCCCGCCTGAGGCCGTGTTTTTGTTCACCACTCAATTCTCTAGGTTATATAAGAACATAATAACACTGCGAAAAAAAAAGCAGTGAAAATACTGTAATTTCGAAGTATTCAAAATAATTCCAAAAAAAAAGAATGTTTTTAGCCTAAACGAGGTTGGTACGCCAGGGCAATACACCGGTGTTTCGGAGGTTTCGGCCTCCTCGTCAGTGACCTCTGCCCCACAGTGACAATTTTGGAATTATTTTGAATGTTTATTAGGGGGTTTTTGAAACAGTCGATTTTATGGACTAGTTCTGGTCTATCAGCCAAAATCCATCGATTGAAAGTGGTGTCATTATACACTATGCCATCACCACATACGTCTCCCTCCTTGCTACAATGCAGGGCTTAATGTGACGCGGAGGTCACTGACGAGGAGGCCGAAACCTCCGAAACACCGGTGTACGGCCCTGGCGTACCAACCTCGTTTAGGCTAAAAACATGCTTTTTTTGAAACTAACTTTTCAATTTTTAAAATCCTTAAGCTGGATGTGATGCAGAAAGGATAGATGTCCCATTAGGAGTTAACAATTTTTTTTATCATTTTAACGTGTAACATTAAGGACATAGTACCATCTGCGGTAAATTTGTGATGTTATTCAAGATATAATTAGCATGGAAACCTAAAAAATGCACTTTAACCATGTCAGAAAGCTGTCGGATAATTTAGTAACAGCAAACATTAGAAAAGTCGAAAGTAAACGGTTGAACGCTGCACGTATCAAGCCGATAGAGGATAGAGGCTTCATAAACAGAGCTCTCAGCATTGATCAATCCCTGAGGGATGCGCCATGCTTTCTTCTTCAACTTTTACTTTCGTTTGAGGTGATTGAATGCATATCTAGCCTTTACAATGACTAGCGGTGGCCTTCCGCTGAATCTAGTCAGTGCTGTTTATCCTTCCAGACGAGTCCAAGACCAGTCGGGTACCAATTTACCGACCCCGGAGGGATGGATGGCATGGTGAAAGCCGATAATATTGTCAATGTCTCTTTTCCTTCATATGAGACAAATGAGCGATTCCACTACTTGGTGAGTCACTTCAGACTATCACCTGGAATCGCACGAAACGATCGTTAATTGAAAGTTCAGTCAGAAACGTAGTCGGCTCCTTTCTACTTCTTCTTATGATTTTACGAAGATGATGACCGACTTAACGTGGGAAAAGTAAGCGACATGTGAAGCACACAGAACTCCCAACATTAATAGATTTATATGGGTGCCATGTCTAATGGGATCTGCGCTGTCATTTCTCCATTCAATTTCCTACAATTATCCCTCAAGCTGGCTTGAAAAACAGATTGACTAGTTCTACACATGAGTACAGGTATGTTGGCGATGCTAACGTATGCTAGTGAAGTAATTCATTCATAAAATTCTTGAAATTTCAGTTAGAAATAAACTACACCATATTTTCAAATGTTGTAGCTCTGCTTTATTATTAATTATTCTCATAACTCTGCATCGTTCCTCCTTCTCACAGAATTTTCAACATAGTAAGGTTGTCAAAGAGATTTCTAACATTAAATGTGAACATTGAGGAGTTCGACCTTGGAGCCAACACATGCTGTTTAGCTGAATTCAGCTATAACACTTCTTCCATGACCACATGTAATATCAATTCAAATGATAAAATATCTCTTCTGCACAATATCATCACATATATTTCTACTATAACTGGCAACTCTGTGCTGTGTTCTAGGACTCAAAATACCGTTCTCACAAATATTTTTATGCCTTGATATTTATAAAGCCTTCAATCCAGAACTTTCCGCAACGTTCGACGGCCATGGTTTTGCAGAATTATGAAGCAGGTCTGTATGTTTAGGATTTCTTCTTGAGCACAACTTCTGAAGAGAAACTCAATCGTTTTTGTTCAATTTAAAGGGCATTCCTTATTCGGTAGGTAGTGGGGTAAATAGATGAATGGGTATTTATGATTTAATGCACATAACATGTTGAACCGAACCTAGTATATTATTCTGTTTCGTGTTTTATATTTCACAGTTACATTATTTGAAGTCTGAAAGATGACCAGGAAGTAGAAAATGGAATCTAAAATTCCAAGTAATGCACATTGTGACACATTTCAATGAGAATAATACGATTAAGTACCTATTCAATGAAAACAGCCTTAATGACAACTACATGACCACAAATATTGTCAATAGAAAAATATTTTTTTTGTGTTATCTTCCTTTTCGACTAGCGGATGATTCAATACTTCGGTTCTCTCTATGATGTCTTAAATAGATCTTGGATGAATAATTTTGTGAAAGGAATCAATTTCACAACTGTCAAGTATGTCAATTGCACGTGAATGACTTCATGTTGAGTGTTGTTTATATTGCCTGTTGTCCAATATCTTATTCTTCACTATGTGTTCAAGTAGAATAAAAACTAACAATGTTTATGCATCAAACGTTTCACAGATAAATGAGTACCGAGCCGATGAAGAGATCATTCGTTGTTGTGAAGATCTGAAAAGTACATTCTGCGTTTAGTAGTTAAACAATGACGATAACATTTCAATTCGATAACAATGGCTTCAGGCGCAAGACTTTTGAATGGACAATCACCTCCACTTTGTGGCTAGTTAAAAATCGTTAAAACCTTGTTAAAGCTATGTCATCCATCTGTTATGAAACTCTTTCATCATATTTGTAGCTCAATCATACATAATTTATGCGCACCATATAAAATCGACCCAACAAGTAGAAATATATCTCGCATTTCAAAATAACTTTAAAGTGGATTCTCAAAAATTTTTTGAAAATTGTAAGTAGGTGAAAGGATTCTCATCAGTTTGCAATATATAGCATTCAGGAAGAAATGAAATTAGCAATGAAAAAAATGAAATTAAAAAACTTATAGAGGATGACTATATACGATTTGAGGTGTTTTCTTTATATATTCGATCGCACTGAACTAGATCGCCCCAGTGTGGACAAATTACCGATTTAACAGCAAAACAAGTAAGCAAACAGACAAGCAATGACATAAATTCATAGGTAGTTTCGTCTGATTACTAAAATGCTGCTGACGAAATGAACTTGTTGCGTAACTGAGAGGATTATGAATCTCATAAAAATTTCAGCATGAAGGTCATAAACTTGCAACAATTGTTATCGTTAAGTTTGATTTCTCGGTCTATGCACGTCTTTATGGTGATTGTTAATACGACAGCTTTTAATTTGTTCTCTGGTTTATGGGAATATATCAAACATCACATAAGATCGCGATCATATGAAATGATGAGAAAATCACTCACATGTACTTATATTATTAAAATAGCTTTGATCGCCCATGATCTGCTTTTCTACCTTTGTAGAATCTCAGAAGTGGATGAGCTTAAAGAGAAACATTCAATTAGAAAGTGATAATAAGGAAAATTCAGAAAAATAGGCATATGAGTAGTAATATGAAAACTAACTAAAACTCACTACTCATGTAACGGCGATAAAAGTTCTCTTTGAAATCCAGTCCTCCTCTTCCTAATGAGTTTTGAGCTCTCTTATCAAAGCCGAAACCTTCACCTTCGAGGGAGTTTAGAGCACGTTTATCAAAGCCAAAACCTTCGCCTTCAAGTGAGTTCAGCGCTCTTTTGTCGAATCCGAAACCTCACCATCGAGTGAGTTCAGTGCTCTTTTGTCAAATCCAAATCCTTCGCCTTCTAAGGTATTGAGCGCTCTCTTATCAAAACCGAATCCGGTACCATCAAGAGCGTTCAACGCTCGCTTCTCGAATCCAAAACCTTCGCCATCTAAGGAATTCAACGCTCGCTTGTCGAATCCAAGTCCAGCACCTTCTAATTCATCCAAAGCTCTTTTTTTCTTGTCAAAGCCAAAGCCGCCTCCTTCAAGGTCATCAAGAGCTCGTTTACGGCGACCTGAACAGCTCATATTTGACTATTATAAGAGCAATTATTTGCGCTTTTCAGGCAAACATAAGTATGAACTGGATTGATATCTGACAGCCTCGTTAATATAACGCCCATATTGATTATTCTAACATGACGTTTCTCTATGATTTACGTCCATTATATTTCCGGCTTACTCAAGAGTTTCTTCGGATCACTGAATCCACCTCCGCCCAAGTCTTTGAACGTTGAGGGCGACTGATTTGCATTTGTCACAGCATAGGCAAGCTGTGTGAAGCAGAATATCAACTGAAAATGTTTTTAATAAGTCCTTCTCTTTAGCATAATATGTAATGAGGATCTAAACATGTTTGAAACAGTGAAAAAGTGAAGACAAGAATCAGTGAATCAATAATCGAATTTAGACTAACTCTTAGGCTCCACTAAAGATATTAACTGTATTGTGCTCGTTATATTGTCGAACAAAAACTCACCACAAAATGAGCCAAAGAAAGCAGCATGTGGGGTACCCGGTTTCGAGTACTAACTGAAAAGGAGATAGAAAACTTCTTCGTCGATTATAAATACGTTTTTAACGTTATAGTTCACGAAGTCGGTGGTAATTGAGATTAAAGAAAATTCTTCACACGATTGGTATACTAATGCCCAAGCACATTTCAGATACTAATGATACAGCACAGTTTTCGTAAATCTGGTAGAAATCGAAGAGATTTAGCTAATGTTTAAGGCCCTCAAAGTAATCGCAATGATAAGTCGTAATGATTCGTATGAATTTTATGTGATGGAAGTTCCACCTAATGCCCACTAATTTCGAATTCGATTAACTCCTCAAAAGCGGCAATTTCCTTTAACCTTCTACGCTTCACTCGCAACCTGCACGTCGTTGATGATCTGTCTATGAGCCTAACTTTCAAGTACAAAGGACAAGCGTCACTGTAGCTGTAATTAAACGAAGTATTCCCATGAACTATTAGGATGTTGACAGTGTTTATAATGAGGCAAGGAACTGCGAGAAACTCAAGAGGGTCAGTGTGTATTGAGTGCTACTTTAGGACACGCACTCAACAATGATTGTTGTGAAAACAAAGAAGTTGAC